AAAATGTAATGTTAGGTACTAATTAACTTGTAGCTTCTATTTCATCAATTAATGAACTAAAGGCATTTTATAGATAATCTCCAATTAAAAAATGAGTTAAAAAATATCCTAATAACATTACCATTGAAATAGCAAATTTAAGATAAAAGTTGCGTTTATTTTTTAAATCATATCTATATTTCTTTCTCTTTTTGTGTCTTTCCAAATACTCCTCATCTTCATCCTAAACTTCATCATCATCCATAAATCCTTCATTATCTCTATGCAATTCATCATCTTCTTCACCTACTTAAAGTGAATTGAAAAATCCTTCACAAATATTAACCAATGTCTTAACTTTGGTAATTTAAATTTATAAAAATAGCTTCATAATAATCTCTTAATTTTAACTTACCAAACTAAACATGCAAGCAATCAATGGTACTGATACTACAGCGAAAGCACAAGCAACTATAAATAGAGTAATTACTATGGATGATCCATTCAGTTTTTCTCTTAATTAAGATCCATAAATATTTGCACTCTATACTACAGCTTCAAAATAATTATTAAGTAAATTATAACTAACAAAAAATTATGATTCTGGATTATAAGTTTATAATAATTCTAAGGCTTTTGATAAAATCTATGCAGTTCCTTAATTTAAATCCACCAATTAAGTTGATAGAGTTCCACTTTAATCTCTTCCAGTCATTTTTACAGAATTAGTTCTAATTAAATCAATTTAATCTCCTTCTACAACTGCTGATTATAAAATAAATTGAAGTTCTTATAAATTTGAAATACTCTAATTTAAACTTTATCTTTAATCTGCAATATTTTTAGTTTAATCAATATATGGATTTATCTAATTTAATAGATATAATTCAATTGTTTACCATAAAATTCTTTAACCTAATGCAACTCTTTAATTACTATTAATGACATTTTTATAACCATCATATACTCCAAAAAACAATTATTAAGTTAAAATATAATTTAGAAGGCCTAAAACTCCTAAGAAAATGATAAGAAGTGCAGCATTCCATCTAAAACATGTTAAACTTGATTAATTTGCACTTTTGCTTTCTTTTAAAAATTAAACAAAAGTCTTTTTAGATTTATAAACATTAGCATTTCCATTATCCTATTCTTAATCTTCTTCCTATTTTGATGGCATTTATCCAACTATTTTTGATTAACCATCTTCTTCTTCTTCAATGTCTATGTTTTTATATTCTTCTGAATCAAATAATTATCCTCCTATCAATATCATAGTTTTTATTCCTAAAGATAAATCATTATTTTTATCTTCTAATTTAGATGATGGAGTTTTTTCATCATCATTTTTTACTGAATATTCATAAGTTTCATCTTATTTTGATACTGAAATAGCAGACATCTAAAAATTTTAATCAGATATATACTCTCCTATAAATTTATAAACATATTAATCAGGAAGTTTAGTATTATTGTCTTTTTTATATTATTTTTTTAATTATTCAATTTTTTCTTTCATTCCAGGTATTTCTTTTGAATCAAATTAAAATAGAAATTTTTATGCTGAATTCAATTATTTTCTAGCTGAAGCAGGACCATGTTCAGAAGGAGTTTATAAAATAGATTTTTCTACTCTAATTTATTCTAATTTAATAATGTAACCAAATAATTAAGCTTATCTTTCATCCTTTTTATGATGTTAAGATTATGGAACATTTAGTGTAAGATTAGTTTATATTATATTTCCTTCTTTATTTTAATTATTCATAAATCTATTCACACAAATGTTAATTTCACTCACATAAACTTAAAATTATTATTAAATGAATTAATCTCTACTTTTATATTAAACAGTAGTTTCATAACCTTATTTACTCATAAGTTCTTATTTGAATTCTTCAAATTATGGTATTAAATCAGAAACTTAAGTTTTCTTTTTTGATATATAATTGAGATCAATATGAAAAAGACTTATAAATTGTGCACTAATATTTTCAATGCACATATCAAAACTATTAACTATCATATAAGCTTAATTTTTAAAATATCTTTCTTGTTTTATGGCTGCAAAGAATTAAGAACCATTAATTAATGAAGGAATATATCTAACATAAATAAAGAATGGAAAAATATATCCAGATTTATGTTTCCCTATTAAAAGTCTTTCTCTATTTAAGACTCTACTCTCTTGATTTTATGTATAACCTTCTAAAAATTGATCATGATATTGAGCATAAATATTTGGCATTAAAACATTAATTTTTCTATCAAGTAATTCTGATTTAGTATATCCAAAAGTTTTAGCACATGATTAATTTAAACCTAAAATTCTACTAAAATTTCCATCTTCTGCTGAAATACTTATTAAAGCTGTTGATTCATTAACAAAATCTTTTAAATTATTAATAATTTTTCCACGATCCATGTCAAATGTTTATAAATTCTTTAATCTTTCAACAACATCCTCTGCTTCTTCTCTATCATTAAGTACATCTATCAAATATCTTGAATACATCATTAATAATGTTGGTGGCATATCAAAATTAATTTTCATAATTCTTTTCCATTAATCATCCAATACTTTATCAACATATAACATTCTTAATCCTACTTCATACAATTTACCTAAATCTGGTGTATCTTCTCTTAATTTTATCCAAAAATCTAAATGTAATTAAGTAGATTTTTCTATTAACATTTTAATTTCTCTTAAATTATTTTCTGCTGTAAATTCATTTACATTTGTCAGATTCCCAGAGTCAAACATTTATTCTTCTATTATTTTACGTAATCTAAAAATTAAGAATTATTAATCTAAATATGGTTTTTCTTATTCTGCTAAAGCTAATTCTTACAATGCTTAAATAGTTGATTACATTTTTTCATACAAAAATAATGCATGTGATATTCTTAACTCAATACAATTAGGATAACGAGTTAAACTTAATACATATATCTTTTCAACAATATAAATTAATATAACATATTAGGATTTCATTGATAAATCTTTTACACCCTTTTTAAATTTCTCAATTCTTTTATCATTCATATTTTTTGGTGAACAAGGACAATCATCTCTTTTACAAGTTACTTTATGATATTCCACAAATCCATCTAATAATGATGCTATACTTTCATCTTTATCATAATATCCAACCAATTTTGTTAAATATTATAATAATTACAAAGATTGATCTAATGAATCAAATTTATTTGAATCTACCATCATTACTTCATATCTATATTCTTTACGCACCAAAATTATTATTAATAATAATGGAGTACATATAACCCATAATTAAGGTGCTCCATCATAATCTGTATTTTCTAATATTAAACCTAATACAACCATCATCATAGTCCATAAGATAATCATATGTTAACCATTTAATAATTTGGCAAAGTATATGTTTAAGTAAATACTAGATTTATTGAAAGAGTGAAATAATTTAATTGAGAAGAGTGTTAAGATTATAATAATCAATAATCTTTAATTTTGTACATCCAATATTGTAAAACATAGAACCATAACTACTTTAAATATTAGAAATATCAAATCTTCTCTACCTGTAACTTTACATTAAGGATTATTAATCTAAAATCTAGATTCAAAAAACATTAATGTAACTAGTGTACTTACTCCAATCAATATAATAGAAGCAATACAACATAATAAAACGTGTAATAAATAATTTCCATTATAACATTATTAATCCTTATATATCTTATGAATATGAGTTGAGTTATCACAATTAAATATCGTTAAAAACAATTGCAATATAGGCATGAATAAAACATAATTTAATACTTCAAAAAATATTTTTAAAATCATTAAAGTCCCAGTCATTCTACCTAAACTTGCTGACTTTAAAGCTATGAATAATACAACTATTAATAGGAGCATAATTAATCCCATAACAATATAATTCACTAAAATATACGTTTAGAAACTCAAATTTTTCAAATAAGACTATATCATAAAATAACTAAAAAAAGAGTTGAGAGCAGATGTCCATGATTCCACTTTCCAAAGCGAAGAAAACTAAATAATTAAATTATTAAACATACTTCATCAGTGAAAAAAAAATGGAATACTTATAAACTTTCAATAAGTATAAAAAATACATAAATAAAGAATGGAAAATTATCTCCTAAGATAAGGTTATGTACTATTTCGAAAAACATTATTTTAAATGAATGTTAAATCTTATCCAGATTTGATTTGTCATCCTCAAACAATGAAGTTCTTTTCATTTTTTTATTATATAAATTTTTATATATTTATTACTTAATTTTAATTAATCCATATTTATATACTGATAATAAAATAATTAATAATCATATATTTATTCTTTCTACTAATAGTAAGCACTTTTATTATTTTTGATATAGTTTGAGCTTTGATTTACATTACTTAATAACTCAAATTACTATTATTTTTAAATTAATACAAAGTTATCTGATGATTAGAATTTTATTTTAAAATATTTCTATTGTACCTAAATTAAATGTGTAATAAATTTTGTTATTTTCTTATACTATTTTGCTATAATTTTTTAAATGTTTAAGAAATATGTAAATTATATTCAAATTTTCTAAACTAGACTTGATATATGAAGTTTTAAAGTATCAATTAGAATTATAAATTTTAGGTATTTTTTTAAATGATTAAATAACTTATCCTCCTATTTTTATGATTAATAATTATTTTTTTGTTAATTTAATTCAATCTTTCTTAAAGAAAATTAAAGCCTACATAATTTTCTTAAATTTCTATTAATTTATTAAATCAGTTTCGAATCCATATCCTTCTTATCCACCTCCTATTATCTTCAATTATTTAATATTTGATTAAAGATAATGAGTATTTATTTTATTTTTTATTGTTTAATCTTCTGACTAACAAATTTTGTTAAGGTTATTTTAAAATCTGAATAATACTATTTATAATTAATAGTAGCTTTTTTATTAAATATGATTGATATATATATATTTGCAGATTATTTAAATAAAAAATAAAAATAATTTTTATTCTTCTAAACATACACAAATGTACAATTATGATGATATAAAATTTAGGCAAGTAGAAGATTAGGATGAAATAGCTATATCAAAATAACTTAGCATATCGAGAAGATTTGCAAGATATTTGTTAAAATAGGCAGGACATTATGATCGAGTGAGAAAGGCCCAGAAGGTATATGCAAATCTAGATAAACAAATTCAAAGCTTAACATCAATATTTTCATAATATGCTATTGATGGATTAATTTAATACAAGGATGCATAAAATGATTCATATACAAAATTTATGAGAGATGTAGGAATTTAGGATGATTAAATATTATAATTGTATATTACATACAAATTTGGTGGTTAAAAAGGAGCAGTTTTTACATTGGACGAATTCCTATTGGGTATGATTCGTTTAAAGTAAATTAAATTGTATATTATCAGATGTTAGAGTATCAAGGATTTGAAGAATATTGTTCCTTAATTAAAATAGAAAATATAGAAAGAAAATAAATACAAAAAATTATATAGTTATTTCTTTAAAGTAATGTCATAAGGAAAGAATGTAATAAGATTTACAGAGGCAATCAGTAATTGATATTTAAATAATTATTAGCACTTTGGGATTCATTATTAAATGAATAATTCAAAGAAATTATTGATTTCATTTAATTTTGTAAAGCAAAACCAGCAGAATTTTAAAATACAACAAAAGTTAGTTTTGATTTATGGTGTTAAGTGTGGAAATTCTTTGAAATAATAGGAAGTGATTATACAAAATTCGATGAAAATGGTATTAATTTAAATGAAAATTAGATGCTTGGCCACTTCTTATTTATGAATATGTCCAATTTAAAACAAAATGAAAAATCAAATTTATTATATAAATATATATAAAATAATCTATTTCACAAATCATCCCTATGATTATTTTTACGATCATCATTGAATTCATGATTTGAATGTTCTTTAATAAAATTTATTAATCTTTCCCTTTATATTATATTAACTTTTTGTATAAATTTAGTGTAACTTTTATTTCCTTTATATAATCTAATCTTATAAATATCAGTAGGATCTGAGAAATCACTGAATTCATTTTGAGTTACATCTGCAATAGCAAATTTGACTTTGCTAATTTATGAAATAAACTTAGAAATTTCAGCAAATTCTTTTAAAAGGGATAGACTAATATATAATAAATTAATTACTGTTCAGAATCAAATGAATTATAATAGAAAATGACCCAATCTTCTGATGAATTTATAACTTTTTAATATGAATTACCTGTAAGAATTTCAACATTTTCTGAATAAAAAGGATTATCTAATTTTTAAGATTTATAATGTTTTGGAGCTTTTCCATTTTTGAAATCAAGTATAAATTAATCTAGATTTTATTTAGTAAATGCTTAATTAAATTTATATTTATAAACTCCATATTTTTGTAATCCAAATAAGGCAGGTGTTCCAGTAAAATCACCAATTTATTTTTAAAGTTCAGGGAACAATTAATTTGTTATACTACATTTTATAAATAATAAATGATCTTCATGAGGATGATCAAGACTAATAGATTTAAGTGCATCATGAGCATTTCTATCTTTCATTTATGTTTCATCAATTAATAGTATTAATGTAGATCTGTCTTATTTAAATATCTTCTTAGCAATATCTTCATTATATTCATGAAGTCTTTAAAATTAATTGGTTTCAATAAAAGCCTTTAAATCAGATACTTTAATTTATTTTGGTTAATAAACTACAGGAGATTTATCATATTTCTTATAAACTACTAAAGAATCTGTAGGACCAAATCCTAATTCTTATTATGCGTTTTCTAAAAAAGTGTGATAAAATTCCAAATTTCCATATGCATGACTATAATCTTTATATCTTCGAAAACCTCTGTCTTCATCATTTTAAGCCATATACAAATACATCAATTAGCTTTTAGATATCTTGTCTTTGATTTATTCAATAGTTTTTAATTCTTTGGTTCCTTCATTGAGTTATTCATACATCCACATAATAACACTATCACTAGTTCTGGGTCCTTCAAATTTTTTATATTTTTTGCCATGATCTTAAGATAAGATGACAGATGGAAATCCATTGACTTCAAATTATTTAGCAATATCTTTATAATTATGACCATCTACTTTGGCAAAGACAAAACCTTCTTCTTTTAATTACTTTGCTGCTTTTTCTACTTCAGGTTGGAATCTTTCACAATGTCCACATTAAGGAGTATAAAAAAAGATCATAGATATTTCATTTTTTTCAAAGAATTGTTTAGAATTCTTATCAAATACAACATGCAAATCATTTTCCTCTTTTGCTTAAGTATAGATAATGAAAATAGAGAATACTAATTGGTAAAACATAAATATTAATATATAAAATGTATACGTATGTTTCTAGAATATTTTAATAATTATGTTACTTTAAACCTGTGTTCTAGCAATAGCTCTTGTTTAATCGTTGACATAAGAAGATTCAGAATATGAACTTAAGACCAAATCAAAACGATAAACTTATGATGATCCAGTATTATGTTTATATATCCATAATTAAGGATCCATATAAAAATCTTATTTAGTGGTTATAGGATGGCAAAGCAGAAGTGTCTAAAGTTTAAATAGAAGTCAAGAGCGAAGGTTATAGAACACTGAGGGCTTCTCAATTTATAAGATAAGGTGAGTGGGTACTTTTTGTACCACGTACTCATTATCTTTCATTAGAAGAAGTCAAAAAAAGTTGTCTCATTAACAGAAAAATGATTCAACTTAATTATATTCCTAACAATATTCAAACATATTTTGTTAATCATTTACTCTAAGAGAATAGAAGGTATATTGATTATTTGATTTAAATAGATAAAATTCATTTTGGAAACCTTATATTGATGTATTGCCAAAAGATGTTAGTGGATTTCCAACTTATTTTGATGAAGAATAAGATGCATTATTAAAGGGATCACCTACATTATTTACTGTAATGAATTAAAGAAAAATATTCAAAGAGGAATATGAAAATTTAAAAGAGGCTGTAAAAGAATTTTAAAGATATGGATATACATATAATGATTTTGCTAAATTTAGAATTCTTACTATATCTCGAAGTTTCCCTGTTTATATAGGAGAGAATGAATAACAATAATTATTGGTACCTTTGGCTGGTACATTATAAATAAAATTTATTTTTTAGACTTTATAAATCATGATAATAATGGATTTTTATAATATGGATATTCTCCTGATGCAGATGGATTCTTTATGTAAGCAATCAGAAATATCTAAAAAGGAGAGGAATTATTTTATAATTATGGTTAATGGTCAAATAAATACTTTTTTATGAATTATGGATTTGCTAGTCTTACAAATCCAATGAATTAATTTGATTTTGATGTTTGTTTAGATAGAAATGATAGAATGTTTAATATGAAAGTTGATTTAACTGGAGGAAATATTTGTTGGGGAAATAGATTAGTTAATGAAACAGATCATGATACATTTAGATAATCATTGGCAACTGTTAGATTTGCTTAAATATCTAAATTAGATGATTTCTTATAATTAGAAGAGGATGTTTAAAATTTTAATTAATTTTGGCCAGGATGGCATACAACACCAAAAACTATAGAATTAGAAAAAGCAACATTTAAAGCATTTAAAGAATTATTGGTTTCTGAATTAGCTAATTTTGCAAGTACTATTGAAGATGATTAAAGAAGATTGAATGATCCTAAAACTCCTGAATTTAGAAGACATATTATTATGTTGACAATGAGAGAAAAGTAAATTATTAAAAAGAATATTGAAATTTGTGATATGATGTTATCTATTATAGATAAAAATTCGGAAGTAGATTATTTATTATTATGAATATAGGAAATAAAAAATTTGATGAGATATTACAATTATAGAGAAATAGCAAGATTTGTAAATAGTGAAATTATTCCAATGAAATTAGAGTAAGAAGGACTTGCATGATTAAATATTAAAATACATCTTTAATATTGAAGTATAATTATTATTATAGTATTTTGAAATTAATATTTTCAATATAAATATTAAATATAAAATGTCATATGGATAAAATTTGTAAGTTTTCAATCCCTAACGATTCAAAAAGATTGAAAAAGAAATGCAATAGAATAAAAAACGATTAGAAGAAAGTATCCTAATTCTTTTTGATGTTTTTTAGTGAGGTTAGAAGAGGAATCCTAAAATACTAGACTATTAAAAGTATAATAGAAAGAAAGAACTGTCGATTTAGAATATAAAGATAGAAAGAAAAAGATGGAAGAAACTTAAGAGTAATTAGCTTTTGAGGCATAGAAATTTAATGATGAATAAAGAAGAATGAATTAAGATTTAGAAAGTAAGAAAGATTCAGTTGTGATGTTAAATGATCGAAAAAAAAGATAAGATGATGAAAGGTATGCTAAAGAATAGAAAATTACATTAGCCAAGGAATAAGAAAAGGCATAAGCATTAAATGAATTAGCTAAGTTACAGTAATCAAAATTAATGTATTCCTAGAGAAGAAGTCAATTAATTAGAAGTTAGAAGAAAGAATCATTAATAATATGAATTATTTTTTAAGAAAGTGATATCTAAATCAAAAGAATTGGAAACTGGTTAAAATGATGATGAAAATGCTATAAAAGAATTAATTGATCGTTATGAAAGATTAAAAAAAAAGGAAGAGGAATTTAAAAAAGATAGAGAATTGAGAGAAAACTAAAAAGATTAAATTAATTAATAATTTAATGAAGTATATTATATCATTTAAATAATAAGTTAAATAGTAAAATATAAGCTGAAACCTATGAATTTAATGCTAAATATAATAAATTGAAATTAGCTATTTAATAAATTAATGATGAAAATGATTAAAAACATAAAGAAATAGAAGGAACATAAAATTAAAATGAAGCTACTCAAAAAGAATATATATAAGTTATTCATGGAATTTAAAATATGAAAGATATATTAAAATAAAGAAATAAAATTGTTAAAAGGATTCTATTATCTGGTAAAGATAGTGATAATGTAACAGAACAATAGAGAAATAGGAAAAAAGAAAAAAAAATAGATAATTAAAAAATAGAAAAATATTTAAATTTTATAAAGGATGAACTATAAACATTATAATAATTTAAATAAGAATTTGATAGATTTTTAGCAAAGGAAAAAGAACGTGATTGATTTATTATTTTAACCAAATTAATCAAGTATTTTATTTATATTATTCTTTAATATAATAACTATTTTTTATGAGAATTCTTAAATTCAATATTATCTTTTCAAATTAATCTAATTAAAATTATTTATATAAAATTGACAGATAAGATTAACATTATTTAACAATAATTATGTAAAATTAATTATAATTCATATAATGGAATATTTAAATTATAAGTGATAATAAAATAAAAAAATTATAATATCAGAGCATTAATGATACATTCAAAATGACATATTATAAAATCTTAATGAAAATTGATTATTATTTTATAGAAACAACATTATAGTGTTTGCTATTATGTAAGATATTAATTAACAACAATAGTATGTAATTGCAAAATCATTTATTATTAAAATCTTTATGGAAGAGTAAGTGTACATATCTGAGGAGGGAATGAAACACATTCTATAAGTATTTGATCCAAAAGACCCTCATAAAAATATATTATGGACTACTAATTATAGAATGGAGTTGCCTTTAAGAGTAAGAAAATCAGGAGCAGGAAGTGAAGTACCAATAACTCTTCCGGAACAATTTAAAATGGATTGCACTTAATTTGCAAAGCAACCAGCTTTAAGTGTAAAGAGGAATAATAAATGGTAATATTGTATAATTGATATATGATTAGGATAACAAGAACATATTAAGATTATTATAATGAATCATTATAATTTGCAAAGGCATTGATAGCATATGGAATAAGTGAGATGAGTGCAGTTAATATAATTGGTTTCAATGCTCCTGAATGGTTCATCTCTTTCATGGGTAGTATACATTCTCACAATTTACCAGTTGGTATTTATACAACGTAAAATCTTAATATAATATAATAGTAATAATCCAGATGCTTGTTTTTATGTATCAGAACATTCAGAATGTGAACTTGTAGTAGTAGATACAAGAGAATAATTAAATAAATATTTATAAATATGGGATAAATTACCAAAACTAAAAGGTGTAGTAATGTATAATGATGATATACCAAAAGATGGAATTAGTGAATAAAGAAGATCATAAATATTTAAATGGAAAGATTTTTTAGAATTTGGAAAGAAACCAGAATTATTAAATTAAGTAATAGAAAGAGTTTCAAAATTACGTCCTGGAAATTGTGTAACATTGATTTACACATCAGGTACAACTGGAAATCCTAAAGGTGTTATGTTATCTCATGATAATTACATTTTTACAGTAACATAATAAAGAAAGAAATATTAATTTGCAGATAATGAAGTGATGAGAATTGTGAGTTATCTTCCATTAAGTCATGTTGCAGGATAATTGATTGATATAATTGGAAGTTGTCGTTGGGGTGCACATATTTATTTTGCTAATCCAGATGCTTTATCTGGTTCTTTAATTAATACTCTTAAGGAAGTAAGACCAACTGTTTTCTTTAGTGTACCAAGAGTATGGGAAAAGATATATGATTAAATGTAATTGGTTGCCAAATCTAATGGAGCAATCAAAACAAAGATTGCAACATGGGCCAAATCTATTGGAAAAGAGGGAACTTTTGCTTAAACTCATGGATTAAAACCTCCTTTATGTTTTGGATTGGCTGATAAATTAGTTTATAGTAATGTTAAAAAAGCATTGGGATTAGATTAAGCTAAATATATGATTTTTGGTGCAGCTCCTTTATCACCTGTTATAAGAGAGTATTTCTTAACTTTGAATATGTATTTAATCAATGCTTACGGAATGAGTGAATGTGGAGGTGTTACAACTTTAGCAGATCCTTTACACTTTGATAAATTTGATGGTTTCTTTATGAATAGTACTGGAAAGACTATGGAAGGAACAGAATTGAAAATAGATTAACCAGATTAAGATGGAAATGGAGAGATATGTTATAGAGGAAGACATATCTTTATGGGATACTTTAAAGATGAAGAATCCACTAGAAATACTATTGATAAGGATAGATGGTTACATTCTGGTGATATAGGTAAATTAGATAATAAGGGTAATCTAACTATTACTGGAAGAATTAAAGAATTAATTATTACTGCAGGTGGAGAAAATGTGGCACCTGTTTTGATTGAAAATGAAGTCAAAAAGACAATTCCTATAATATCTAATTGTATGGTTATTGGTGATAAAAGAAAATATTTAACAATTTTATTAACTTTAAAATATTAATTACAATCTGATGGAACGTAATATTTATTTTATAATAATATTTAGACCAACTAATAAATTACTTGATGATGTTATTTAAGTTTTCTAATAACTTGGTTCAAAAGCAGTGACTTTCGAAGAAGCTAAGAATGACCCAATCATTACAAATTATTTATAAAAACTTATAGATGATGCAAATACCAGGTAATCATTTTTAGAGTCATTTCCAAAGCCTAATATATTAGAAAGTGGACACTTATTCCTAGTGATTTTAGTGTTGATGGAGGAGAATTGACTCCAACTCTCAAATTAAAAAGAAGAGTAGTTGAATAAAAGTGGATTAATGAAATTGAGAAAATGTACTAAGATGCAAAATTATGAAAATTATAAATAAAAAATCATTAATATATTCAAGCTCCTTAAATTAAAGTTTTTATTAATAAGTCATCATAAAATTATGTTAAAAAAAAGATGCTTTAGAATTCTAGTTATTTATTTTATCATATTTTTTATAAATTTTGGAAACTACTTTATTTATATACTTTTTGTTAAATATATATTAGATTTCATTTAGTATTTTATAATTTGATTAAAAATTTATCTATGAAGTATACACAGAGATTTATTAAATTTTCTTAAATTAAATATGAAGTGATATTGAAATTATTATAATTTTAAAATTTAATGTCATCAAATACTAATTGGACAACATCCAAAAATGAATTGATCAAATGGATAAATGATACATTTAAAGTAATTATTTAATTGCATTTATAAGTTAACCATTACTTAATTAGAAGCACTTGGTACAGGTTGTATATTTTGTTAAATTTTTGAATACTTATATCCTAATTCAATATCACCAAATAAAGTAGTTTGGAAAGCTAATACTGAAGTAGAATTTATCAAAAACTTTAAGACACTTGCTGAAGCTTTTACAAAACTTAATATTTCAAAAACTTTCGATGTAAATTTTACTTCAAATTATATAGATTTAAAATTTATCAAAAGCAAGATATTAAGATTTATTAGATTTAGCAATATATTTCAAAACTAAATATGATAAATAAATAGAGAAAAGAATTGGATATGATCCTGTTGAATTTAGAAAAGTGGAAGAAAAGAAAATATTAATAACTTAAAATAGAAAACCTATTAATCTTACTGCACTTAAAGATAAAACTAATCTTGAAGATTCAAAGATCTCACCTTAATCTATATTAATAAAAAGATCATCATCATAAGCTTAAAATTAAAGAGGAAAAAAAGTGAGTAATGATTTAATTAAAACACCATAATTATCATCAATAACAGAAATAGTTAATAATATAGAAGATGATGAAGAAACAAAAGTTAAAAAAATAAAATAATTGTTTATTTGAATATAAAATCAATTAGTATCTATATTTTTATCATCTATTTGTTGATGAATCATCTTTTTATATATAAGATGATGTACTATCTTTTGCAGAATCAGCATCAAAAAGAAGAGAATCTTTTCGTATTTTCGATTCCTAATATTTATTTAAATTTAATACTGAAATTTTCCCATATATACAATTATAAAAACTTATTCTAGCAAAAAATAAATAAGTGTTTTGTAATGACTTTGGAAGGTTAGGTACTAATTATAAATAAAATGCATAAAAAAATAGAGAGGCATAATTAAATCCTTATAATGCTAATAATAATTAAGGAAAGAACCAAATTGTTTATATTACATATCCTGAATTTTTTATGTAATCTGTTTTAAAATCAATTAGTTTCTATAAAATATTAATTGTCCAAAATATAAGTAAAGTTATAGGTAATATATAAAGATTTAATGAGGAACATGAATCAAATTCATTAACAAATTTAGTTCTAATTTTTGATTTCAATTATTTCACTGAACAATGAAATATAATTCCAATTATAATCATTACAATTGTAATGGATGTTTATAACCAAAATACAATTTATGTAAATATATCATCTGATTCAATTTATAGATTGCATACATAATATATTAATTCTTGACCCCATGAGGTTCCATAATGATTATATTTTGCACCAAATAACATTGGTAAACATATAGCAAATGTGAATATTCCAATTCCAAAATGTATCCAATAAATTTATTTAACTTTTTTTCCAATTTAAGAATTTGGATTTAATGTTTATTAAATGATATAGGATGAATACAAGGAAATCAATGTAGATGCCAAAAAAGATGAATTAATGAAGTACCCTTACAATTAGCAAACTGATATAGAATATTATAATAATACATGTTTCTTTTATGCAATATTGTCTATTATTTTGATCAGATTTAAATTAACAGAAATCATTATTACTATTTTCATTCAAACTATTTTCATCTTTAAAAATGAAAGGTGTTAGTACTTAAGGTATATAGAAAAATAGCATACTAATGATTTGAGTAAAGAAGAGGCTAATTATAAATTTTAAAATTTACATAACAATGAAATATCTCCAACCTTTTCCTAATATAAATACTATGATGACTCCAATAACTGACAATAAGCTCATTACTATACAAGAAAATTGAGCTATCAAGATGGGGTTATAATCATAGAAATACATTTATGTGAATAATTTGTATAAATAAATAATATTATTCAAAAAGATATTAATAACCTAATTCAATAAATAAAAATTTATTCTTATTTTTTATATACAAAGTACAGTTAACAATATTCATTATGGTGCAAGTTCATAAAGAATCTAAGGATATATTCTAGATTTTTTATTCCTACTTGTCTAATAGCATTAACAAATGGCAAAACATAAATTAAATAAATAGAGAAAATCCACTATTAAATAATCTATATAAGATTTATTCACATAATATTCGTACTCTTATTCAAAGTATGGATAACAAGCATCTTTTCTTATATTAAATATATAAATACGGAATTCCATTATTGATGTTTGAAAATAGATAGACTGGATGAGATTTGCACCATCCTGAACAATTATATTTTTCTTCTAAATATGCTATATAATTATATGAAGCCCCATCAATTTTAATCCATTTTTTACATTTTTAATATTAAGTTATATCACTTATTTATTTATTAGTTGTATAATGTATGCGATTATTTTCTAAATAATCAGAATTCCAATCTTATATTTTCTCAATATAACAAATACAATCATATTTACAAAATTGAGTTTCTGCCCATATTATTTATTCCTTTGTTTTTTAAGCATTTGGTAATTAAGATGTTTTACAATCAAATATATTACTTAACAATTAATTTTTTAAAATAGTTAATGAGATTGTAATATAGGCTGTCAAAACTCCAATAAAAATGATAAAGCAAGAATAAATAAAAATAATACAAAAGTTTGGACAATATGAACTTAATAATCCAGATGCTCCTACTATAATAACAGCTAGTCCTACTGAAAATGTAAATACAATTCCCTAAGATTATAATTCTTAATTGAATACATTTCCATCATTGCCTACACCTTCACTCAAAGTCATAAATACTTAAGAGATCAATACAATCCCCAAAATAATGAAACAAAAGCAATTTATTCTGATAAACAATTGAATAAACTTTAAGGGTAAGCACATAAATTAAAATTTATAAATATCTATAATTATAAGATTATTCATTATCAACATTATTATTGTAATATATATTTTATTATAAATCATCACTTATGTTTTTTAGCATGATTATCTACTAAATCATAAGCCTATTAAACTGTTTTGATTTCAGAAATTCTAAATATATAAGATTAAACTAATACCTTTTTCCTTTTCTAACAGCATAAGCAGCATCATATTATTCTTTATATTCTCTAGTCTATATAAGTAATTATTCAGTCAAACTCAAATCTCTATTAATTATTGTCAATCTTTTCTCTAAAAGAACCTATTTATTAAATATTTATTTACTTTATCATTAGTTCTCTTCTTTATTAATTATGATGTGATTTCAAAGTCTTTTGAGAATCTCTCTCTTAATTCAGCAATCTCTTAAATTTATGTTTAGAAAGTGATCTTAAATTATTTAAATTAATATTATACTTAGCTTTAAGTCTCTTATTCATCTTCTTATTACATTAAGGCAATTACTGCATTTCTAATATGTTCTAATTTGTCAATGATTCTTTTGACTGTTGGAACATCAAATTTAGTTGTCATTGCAACCATTATTGCAATTGGATGATTATGTCCCAATTCTCTCTTGATTTTTTCAACAATTTCAAATTATTCTGTTTATAATAATGATTTTCCTTCTTAATCAAATACTGCAACTTATAATTTTGGAATTATTTCATTTAAAGCTGCTAATACTTTACCATTGTTCTCTTATCTAGCTTAATATGAAGCAGCTTCTTCGGCTCTTGTTTATCTAAGTTATTCTTCCTTTCCATTTAAAATATTTAATTATTCTGTAATTGCATCCATTTACTATTATAATCCAACAAGAACTTAATTGAGTTCACTTAATTAATTATTTTTATCCTATCTCTCTTTTGTAAGATTTCTTAAAACAATAATAAGCCATTCAATATCCAATCCAAGTGTAGTTGTTCTCTAAACAAATATATATTATCATTTATATACATGAGCATATTCAAGATCATCATTTAATTGATCTCTCTTCATTTACTCTAATAAATCACCTACTAAAGCAACTACTTCAGAAACCTTTCCTCCTTGACTAAGTTCTAAATCTAATAAAAATGTGAATTCAGTATGATCAGTTTTGATTGCTTTAATCTCTTTTAGTAAAATTGGCACTCCTGCTTCTAATTCTACAGCAGTAATTCCAAAAACTAACAATCCTAATATGAGGATAGCTTTCATTATTTTATTAATATTAATAAAAACGGACTTTACTCAAATAATTTAAAAGAAATATAATATAATGCATAATTATCTACACTCTCTATCTTATATCAATTATCTGTTGTATATTATATATGATTTCTGTAAATATTATTAAAAACATCCAAATTATTAAATAAGATAATTGAAACTATAATATTTTTTAGTATTTTTGATATTAAATCTAAACATAAAATAATTTTAACCAATCAAATATTATTTTTAATTTGAATCTCCATAAATATATATTTATATTTTACACTCTCATTTAAATAAATTAATATTTTAATTATCTTAAGTAATATTTATAAGAAGAATAAATATATTACTTATTATAATTCCTTATATCTTTATATAAACATAACTTTTTATTTTATTCAAGTAAAATGGAAAAGTTTGTGATATTAAAAAGATATCTTGTATATATTATTTAAAATCTATAAAAATTATAATATCTTAATATATATCATTTAATCAGAATTAAAAACTAACAATTTTCTCCATATAAATATTATCTACATTAGACTAAGTTAAAAGAAATAAATTATAAAGAGGTATTTAATTTGATGGTTTTTTTAATAAATTTTTTTCTTATATCAATATTTAATTTATACTCTCAAAAAGGTGGTATAAACAATTAAATTATAATGCTTTCAAACAACCATCGAAATTTATTAATAAAGCATAAATAAAATAGTTAATTTCAAATTAGATTATTGCATAAGTTTGGGATATAATATATTTAAAATTGCATTGAAATTGATAACTAAAATTGAAATAGTGTAAATATTATAAATGAAAACAGAAATTTTAGATCACCTAATTTATTTATATAATGAAAACACAAGAATCAGTATTATGATTAAATTTATGGTTTTATAGCTAATTGAATAGTGATACAGCAGTTTTTCAGTTTTGATATTAAATATTTTATTAATCAATGATTGAAAATTAACAAGATGACCAAATTAGCCCCATAGATTATGGAAAGTATCATGCAGAACCTTAAAAGGATCATCAAGAGTTGAAATACATGGCTACAAAAATTAGTGAACCAAGAGGGAGTGTTCAGTATCCTTAACATGTATAAGTGGCTATTGAGGATGATTCTAGTTCTTAAAATGAATCTAGATGGTATGCTAAGAATGATACATACAAATAACTAATTGGGAATGAGAGAACTGGATTCATAAAAAAAGTATTGTATTTTAAATAAGAAGGTCTATTCAATTATGATTATTTAATTATTTCTAACCATGATCATGTGTTTAATCTCTTATTTGTCACTTGATTATAGGAGGTTCTAATTATAGCATAATGGATTTGCTTATTTGGCTTTAGGAATATCAATATTTGTAGAATTACTACTCTTTTGCATTCCCAAATTTGCTTGGAGAGTGCCATACAACTACATTTTACTTTTTATTTTTACATTCTGTGAAGGTTATTTAATATCAAATCTTTGCAGTTATGTATTTGATAGATATAGTGAAAATGGAGGTAATTTTAAGTATTCTATGTAGGATTTATTGTTCTGATGGCTGCTAGTTTATCATTGGCTGCTGTAATAGGTTTAACAATATACGCTTGCAAAACTAAATCAGATTTTACTACTAAAGGAGCTCTATTATTTATGTGTATTACATCTTTATTACTTTTTGGAATTATGGCTGGTATTTACTATTAAAATGTTATTAATCTTCTCTATTCGTTACTTTGTTGTCTTCTATTTGGTGCTTACTTAATATATGATACTTAATTAATATTGGGGGGAAGTGTAATATATTTATAAACTATATGTATTAGACTCACAAATTGTCCATTGATGATTATATCATAGGATCAATGATAATTTATATAGATATAGTGTATCTATTTGCACATATCTTAATGGTATTAATTGCATGTCTTAGATGAAGTTATTTGTTTTAATAATATAACATAAAGAAATCATCTTCTGTAAAATATCAAATTACTCTTTCTAACTTTTTCCATTTCCTCTTATTCTCAAACTTTCAATATTTATTTTGTTTATATCTAAATGAATTAACGTATACAACAAAATTGTAAAGTAAATCTTTAATTTCTCTATTTTAAACTCTACTATTATTATATTATAAGGTCCATTTTTTTAATTCAATCTAATTAGAATCAATCATCCCTTAAAGTCTAAAAACGAGTACTTATATCTAATTTGATACATCTCAATTGTGAATAAGATGTTTGATAATTCTTAATTAGAATAAATAATCTTTTAGAAATCTAAATATCATATAAATTAAAATTAAATTTTGGTTAATATCAAGATATCTCAATTATTTGGGGTAAAAAAGGAATGAAATTGATTCTATATAAAGAAGATAAATGTATTTCAATCAGCAGGTAATTAAATGATTAGATTATTATTCTAGAAGAGGATAGCTTCAAAAAAGATTTCATTTTAGTAATATTATTATTAAATATTTAAAAAAAGTTTATTAATAAATATTAATTCCACTTGGATTATTTTTAAATAAAAAAATATGAAAATATTTCTTTGTTCATTAATTTACAAAATATTATAATTTTTTAAGTTATTTTTTTAAGAAATGGTTTAAGGATAGATTTTAAGTATTTAGTAATTATATATAAATGCATAATTAAAATAAACATTAAAAAATTTAGAATATATGAGAAATTGAAAAAATCTATACAAATTTTCTTTTCTTAGATTTAAACATTATTAATGTTTATATCCTTTTAAACTTGTTTATCATTAAGAGAATTTATGGATAATTTATTTATAATTCGCTTATTTGGAATTAAAAAGTTAAAATGAAGTAATAAATTGATAATTCAAACTAAAATATTAAAATATAACTTAGAGAGAAATTATGAAGGAGTTTATCTTAATTAAATTTAATAAAATTTTTTCAAATTAATTGTTGATTGAAATTTCTCTTATTTAAAGGATTTCTTATTAGAAGGAACTTGGAAAGTCAAGCATTTTATTAAACATTGAAACTAATTTTTAAGGAAAGCTTAAAGTACTTAAGAAAAAAGAGAAAAAGCTTCATGAAAATGTAAATAAGAAAAGGATGAAATTACAATCTTAAATTAAATTCTATTATGGAAATTGGATTGGAAAGTTAAATTCATAGAATTCTTAGAAGTCATTACTCAGATCAATCCCATCATTTTTGGAGGATCTCAAAATTATCGTAATTATTTACACCCACCTTAACTATGCCTTATTATATGAAGTGTAGTAATTTGACTTTGTTATATATATATAAAAATTATGATCAAAATTCAGGATGATATTCTGATTGATATAATTGTTTGTCAAAATATTAATAGATCCAGATTATTATATATAATTATTATAATAAAATAAATAATTTATTTGTAATTTAATACAATTTTCAAATTAAAAATAAATCAATCTAAATACTTTTTGTGATTATATAATTAAGTTTTAAATTGTGAAATATAGTATAATTGATAATTTCATAAGTTTTTGATTTAATCCTTATCAAATAATTATATTAGGGAACAACTAAATAGATCCAAAAGAATAATGTTTATAATATAACTTATCAATCCTCTAAAAGATAAAGCATTAATTGTCCTAATTATATTCATTTAAATCAGATTAATAGCAAACAAAAGCTATTCAAGATAGTTTATCCAGCCAACTTTTTAAAATGATATTTTAATTTTTTGCATGATCACTTTATTAAAACTGATACTTAATTATGTAACATAATTATAATTTGATTATTTGATTATTCAGTAAAAAGTTATAATTATTTAAGTATTTTAATTATTACTATTATTTTTCTAAAATCACAATAATTTATTGAAGACCCAACGTTCCAATAACTTAAAAATATTTATAAATTTGACCTATTTAATTCTTCAATTTGGTATTATATGAGTTTATCAAGAAAAAAGATATTATTTTAGTTTTAATTAAAATCAAAATAATTATTTAATTTTTATACTTATTACATTATTTTTTATATTTAAAAAAACCAAAGAATTAGAAAAGAAAGAACTTTATCTTAATTTGAATTTGATATTATTATGACTTTTTTTTTCAATAATAAATAATAAGTATCAACATCATTAAAAATGCTAATATTTTAATAATTTTCATATGCTTACATACTCATTTCCATTATTGAATTTTGATTTAGATACTAGAAAATCAGAAAATTCTGCTACAATTAAGTAATAATATATATAATTATTATCGAAAATTCGAAATTGCCAATATACTAGGATTCCAAAAAATTTCATACCATTATTCTTTTATCAATATCTCATAAACAAACCTTATTATATATATGGAGAAATTGGTTGCCATACTAAACAAGAATATAAATTTGAAATTTGATTTTTTTTCAATTATGGTTTTTCTCATAAGTATTTATATGTATGATTCTTAGTTAAATTTAGATCAAAGAAATAAAATCTAAATAGGCATTTGATTTAAAAATAGAATTTTATGTTAAAAGTAACTCTTTAATTATCTTTTGGTTTTATTATTAATTAAATTATAAATATTGATAAGACTATATAGAAATAAAATATTATTATATGCATATTTCTAAAATCATATTCTTATTTAAAATCTCTTAATATTTATATATAGTAAATTCTCTTTATTTTTATTTTAAACTATTAAGGCTCATTAAGTTATAATTATAAAAAGTATTTTTAAATTCGTAATTATTTTTGAGATTTCTGATAAATTAAATTCTTTTTGTAGAGATAAAAATGAATTAAGAAAGTGTTTTGAAAATATATTAATGAAAGATTATTTCATAATTTTATAAAATAGTATATGTAATTAATATTTATATATTTTCTTTTTAAGTGATAAAAGTTTATTATCATATTAGTAAATTGGCGGGTATGTAATGTGATGATAAGGAGTAAAATTATTATATTAAATTACCATAATATATATTACTATAATAAAGTAACTTAATGCCATTATTGATGTAAAAAAAAAATGTATTTTTGTCTAAAAGCTAAAAATTTATAAATAAAGGTTTTCTTAAATGAAAAATTAAATAAAAAACAAAATGTTATATAATAGTATTTAATTGATAAAAATTATGTATGAAAATCCTTAATTTAAATTAAACAATCAATTATTAAGATATTAAAGGCAAAGCTCTTTAAATATAGATAATAGTAATACCTTTGCCATTTAAAGAATCTATATTTTAAGGATTGATAGCCAAAGCTTTATCTAACCATTCAATAGCTTATTCAAATTGACCCAAACTAAATAAACAATCACCTTTAAATAACTTATATTAATTTACATTTGCTATGCAAAGAATTTAAATATTAAGGATTGATAGCCAAAGCTTTATCATACCATTGAAGAATTTTTAAATTGAAGTAAGATAAAATCCAAAATAAAAGACAACCTGAATAATGAATTATGATGGAAAGGAATAACAGAATATCATAAAGAATCTAATTTATTTCAATTAGTAATTAATCTTTACAGTAATTCCTATGTAAGCTAAAAGAAAACAAGCACCTTATCAGGTATTACAATTCTATCTCCACACACTCTATAACAGTTATTTTTTGATTTATCAAAGTAATAACCAATTTAAGTATTACAAAAGTCATTAGATGAAAATAAGCATAAATGACATCTATCAAATAGAATATAATTTGAATAGCAATATAATCACATTGTTCATTTCCTGTAATTTTCCCATCATTCAAAATTTCAAGGCATTTACAATCTAGATTTTAATATTCAGCCTCATAATTGATAAATTGTCCAAATTTGCACATAATGCATGATTTTAACATTAGTAATTTATAATATAACAACCATCCTACATTACTTACTAAACTATAATCATCTCATTATTCATCATCCACACCTTAAAGAATTTCTTATAAAGGGATAAAATCTCTAGTATAAATGTTTAAGTCAACTTATACAATTAATTTCATTTCAATTAATAGTTATACATTTGTTTTGTAACTCATCAATATAAATGAACATGAATACAATTAATAAATTAGAGAAATTTCCTCATACAAAAAATTAAAACCAGGAAAATTGAAACATATCAATTATATAATGAAAAATTATTATAATGATAAATAAATTAGAGATAATGAGGAATAAGAGGAGTTGATGAGTTTATAATTATTTTAGTACTCAAGTAAATTTATTGGTTTTCACATCTAAGATTAAGCAACTATTAATAAATTAAACAATAATTTATTTAAAAGAACTTTAATTTATCTTTCAGCATTTATTTCTTATCAAAACTAACAGTTTAAGCTAATTTGTCTAATATTTAACAACCTTTTTTAAAGTACTTAGAATGTTTAATCCATAATTATCATTTGTGATTAAACATAAAATATTATTTTTATAATACTCTATATCAAATTGTACAAGTTCTCTATTACTAAAATATATAATTATTTTATTTTTTAATTAACATAGCTTTATAATTTATTAAAATTCAGATTTCTGTTTTGATAATTATATAGATTCATTAAAGAAGTAAATTATCTAATAGTACTAGATATAATCTTAGAAGAAGATTAGAAAAGTAAAATATTCTTTATTTTACATTATTGAATTTAAATTATAAAATAATAGTATTTATTGTTATAATATTGTACTTAATTAAAAGAAAAAAATACAAAAGTCAATCAAAAATATCATCGTAATTATCTTTACTTTTATTTTCTACATCTTTTTGTATTTATTCATTTTGAGCCTACTATTCCATATATTTTTCATATATTTCTCTTTCTTCCTCTGAATCTAATTCTTTTTATTTTTTATTTAATTTCATTTTCTTTTCTACTACCTTCTTATCTGATACTTATTTCTCTTTTTCATCATCAAATTCATCTTCAGCATAAGTAGGTATATTTTCAACTACCTTTTTTTTTGAATCTGATTATTTCTTCTATGAATTAATTTACAAGGGTTGAAATTCTTCTATAATTTAATCATCATCAATTTTTTTAGCCTTTTCAAGATACTTATTAAGAGTGCTTCTCATTTCATTAATTTCTGCATGAAAAGTGTGTGTTTATAATCTCCAATAGATTTCTCCTTATGATGGAGGTTTCAGATCCAAACCTAAAAATATAGCCTAAACAGATCCTTTTTCAAAATACTCAAATTATAATTTATCTAAAGGTGGAATTGGCATTTCAATAGATCTTAATATATATAATATATTTATTACTCTTATCCTCTAAAATCAATATAATTTTATAGAGTTGAAAACAAGTTATTGAAAAACAAATTTAAACTTTCTTCTCCTACTTCTTATAATAGACTCTTAACACTTTTAGCCATTATTTCAACCTTCTTCATAGAAATCATTTCGTATTATTATTGATATAATGCAATTGCTCTTTCATTTCCTTCTTCCAATCTAAATTTTCTAATTCTCTTTCTAATTTCTGCAGGAGATTTAATAGTGAAACCATTTTAACTGAGTAATAAACTCAATTATTCTTCAGGTGATTCACAATCCTTATATTTTTCATAATTTTCAATTAAAATTTTATCCTCCTTTTAAGTCCATATAACTTTCTTTTTAGGCCCTTCATATTAATAATTATCTTAATTATTATCTCCTTCTGCAACTGAATCTTAATAATTTTTAAGTATAGAATCTTTAGTTGCAGCATTAGGAAATCTAAAAAGAATTTCTACACTCATTAATCTATTAACTTTGAATAGTTAAACAAAGCTTAATCCTATTCTTCTAAATAATTAGATTAAGTTTAAGAATTCACTTTTATACTAATAAATATGAAATATAATTACTGTTAATTATTTATTTTATATGATTGAATTGATTACATATAGAAAATCTAATTAAAAAAAGATCCAATCTGCTTTTAGAGTATCAACAATTCTTTTAAAATATTTATAAATTGCAATATTAAGTTCTGATGAATTTCTTAATAATTTGCTAATAATAATAATAATTATTAATATACTCTTCTTTAATTAAATAGAAATATTTTTCCAATACTTTATAATCGACTACGATTGCAAATTCTGAAACAAAATTACATCTTCTTTCTTTATAAATAGGTTAATCATCTTCAGTTTCATTTTCATCATCTTCTTCTTCATTTTCATCATCTTCTTCTTCTCTCATTGCATTTTCTTCATCTGGACCTTTTTCAATAAAATCATTATCTTCTTCATTAGGTTAATCTTATTTTCTTTTTCTTCCTTTATTTGCTTTATTTTATTATTTTTTTATTTTCTTTTTTAATAATTTATTTGTTCTTATTGACCATGCTTTTCCTTATGTATGTAATTCTAATAGATCATAATATAATGCTGTCAATTTAACTAAAGTAGATAACATTTAATCATTAAATAATCCAAATTGACAATATCCATATCCAATTTATATAGCCTTAGCTATATCTTAAGTAACAATAGTTTATAACAATATTTAACTATTTCTTCTATCTGTTTATTCAACTGAAAGTGATAATTCTCTAACAATCATAAGAAATTCAAAAAGAACATTAATAACAGCAAAGAAAATTCTATAATTGAAATTCTTCTTTCTAAGTTAAGTACTTTCATTAATTAAATTACTATATATAAAATTAAATTAAGTAATTTAAAGTGCTGCTTAAACAGAAACAAATTCTGATGATAATTATCCTTGATTATCTTCTTTATTTTATTTACAATGAAATCTAATAAATTTTAAGAAATGTGAAATCAAAACAAAATAATGAACTTTATCATCAGAATCTACAATCTCTTTATTCATTTCAATAAAAGCTTGATCAATTAATTTACTAAAACAATGAATTAAGAAATCTATAGTTGAATATCTTAATTCTTCTTTAAAACTTTTCTCTTTTTCTGCATCATAAAGATCAATAGTTAGAGGCTTTACAAAAATAGTTTTTTATTTTGATATAAGTGCTCTAACTTCAGGTTTTTATCGTTAATTTGCTAATTTATTTACTTAATGTTAATGAAATGGTTAACTACTTATCTATCCAGATTAAGAGAGAACTCTTTTAGTAACAAATAATCCAGGAAATCTTGAATGTCTGTTAGGAATAGTACTTAAATGTTATTATTTCTATAATCTATATTATTAAGCTTATTTTAAAATAAGTTCTTTTTCTTATTCTGATTCTCTTAATAACCATTCAGGATCAAATGGTGTTAAGGCATAATAAAATATCTCCATTAGAGGAATTGCTATCCTTTACATAAAAGATGACTTAAAATCCTAAGATATGTAAATAAATGCAGATAGAACAGATTCCTTGATCATACAATAAATAAAATTTCTTTGTAAATTTCTTTTAACTTCCTTACCACTTTCAAGTCCAATTTTAGTTTCTTCAATATCAGGAATAGAAAGGAGATTCTTAAATAATAAAACAATTAATTCTATCATATCATTATGTACTTTTGTTCTACATTCTTAATCTATTTAAATACATTCAGCAAAATGATTAACCAAAGTTTATAATACAATTGGTTTTAAAAAATATAATTTATATTCTTAAAGAGTGTCTAACATTTGAGGAGCATTTGGAGTTTATAATTTAATACCTGATCTATCTACATTTGTTAATTATTCCATTAAAATAACAACATAATAAGAAAGTACCTTATCTTGAGGATAACATGTTAATAGATTGATCAAGTTGAGTTAAAATGCTCTGTATTTAGCTAAATAAATTCTTGCGATAGGTTTATCAGGTATATCTTTTTTACATTGTTGACATAGGTGTTTTAATGCTCCTTCAGCTTTCTCTCCTTTGGCATATACATTCATATTATCAACTTTAGTAAAAGTACCCAATCCTTAAATTGAAAGTAGCAATTATGTTGTATAATATCTCTAATCATTACGTTCCTCATCTTCAATAAGTCTTTCTTCAAAATTCGATTCCGAATCAAAATCTCTATCCATAAATTATTGGCGGTAATTTTAATTATAAAATATTTCATTTTCAATTCATTCTTATTAGTATTTATAAAGTTTATGAAATTCAATTTATTTTTTCAAATATATATAATCTATAGTGATTTAACAATCTAGAAGTATATAATAAATTGAAACACATTAATAAATATAAAAATACAAAAGGATACTTAATATATATTTATATAATATTAATCAATTTTAATATTTATTAAGCATTTCTTTAAGTTCCTTATTTTCCTTATATAATTTCTTTAACATTTCTTCAGTGACTAATAATTTTTCAATTAACTATTCTCTAGATAAATTATCATATGTCCCTAGTAATCCTACTTTAGGTTCAACTCTTTTTTCTTCTTTCTAACTTTATTTCTTCATAATTGATACTGTTAAATTAATTATTATTTAATTCATTATGGAGGATGAAGAATACAAATAAGTGTAGAACTACATTTTATGTAAATATATTATCTTTAACAAGAGCGTACATTAGGCCAAGGAACATTTGGCAAAGTTAAATTAGGTTATCATATTATTGCAGATGAATACGTAATATTAAACTTAAAATTGTAAGGTAGCAATAAAAATTCTTGAAAAAAGTAGAATAGAGAAACAATGTGATTTAACTAGAATTTAAAGGGAAATCTCTATTCTAAGAAAAGTATGTCATCCAAATGTCATAAAATTGTATGAGGTAATTCTATCATAATCAAAATAAGATCTTAGAATCAGAGTCATGTGTATATTTAGTAATGGAATATGTGAAGGGTGGAGAATTGTATGAATACATAATTAAGAAGAAATAGTAATCAGAATCCTAAATGAAATTAGACTACCAGAAAACATAGCAGTACGCTACTTTTAGTAGTTAGTCTTTGCAACTGAATATTTGCATTCATAAAATATAACACACAGAGATTTGAAACCAGAAAACCTTTTAATAGATGAAAATAGATAATTAAAAATTGCAGATTTTGGCTTAAGTTTTATATCCGAAACTAAAGGTGAATATCTTAAAACTGCTTGTGGATCTCCTTGTTATGCTGCACCTGAAATGCTACGTATTTATTTAAATATAAAAAGTTGGTAAAATTTATGAAGGAACTAAAAGTGATATTTGGAGTTGTGGAATCATTTTATTTGCTATGTTATGTGGATATCTACCTTTTGAACATGAAAATACATAATAATTATATGAATTAATTAAGAACAATGATTTTGAAAAACCTGAACATTTATCTAAAAATGCAATAGATATACTAACAAACATTTTAGTCAAAGATCCAAATAAAAGATTTAACTTTGAATAAATAAAATAACATCCATTTTTTTAGTTGCAAACTTCAATCCCAACTAAGAATCTTAGTTTGAATGACCAAACAATAATTAATAAAATGATAGAAATGGGATATCAATAGAAATAAATTATACACTAATTGCAATCTAATAAGCATAATATTATAACTACAATATATTACCTTTTATAAAAAAAATATAATTAACCTCATAGAAGAAGCTTTTTTCAAAATATTTAAAATATAGGTAATCTAAAACTTGATATCAATTAAAAAAGATTTACAATTTCAAAATTTTAATCATCTTAATAAGGATCACCTATTCTAGAAAAAATTGATAAGATTAAATAATCTATAATATAAAAATTAGAAAACTCTCCTTATTTAAAAACATAGAATTCATAAAAATTCAAGAAATTTAATTTATCAGTTTAATCCAAAAGAGTTAGTATTCAAATAGAAAATTAAAGATAAAAGACTAATTCAGTTTAAGAAAAACATTATGATTATCCTTATACTTACACACCAAACATTTAAGATTAGAAGTATTTATAAATTAAATAAATAAATAAGATCTAGAATTTAATCTAGAAAAAATTCTAAAAATTAGACACCTTATAAATTAATGTAAAGAAGAGATTTAGAATAAGTAATAAAAACAGATATAAATGAAGAGATATTAAGTAATTAGAAAGGTATTTATGCTTAAGTAAGATCAAGAAATAAAACTTAACCAAATAAAAATGAAGAAGGATAAAATTACTTTGAAAAAACTTCTAAATTAAATACATCTCATTAAGTATTAAATAATTTAATTAGATGGCTGAAAAGACACAATAATAGTCCCCTTACATTAATATGAATTTTATTAATCATAGATAATTGTTTAAATAGATTTATAATGGAAATTTGTCTGATTTTATGAAGAAAAAAAATGAGTTCAAGGCCAGAATTTTATGAATAATTTGTAGTGATTTAAATTTTATACATAGTTAAATTACTATTATATTTATAAAAAATGTTTAATTAGATTCTATGTATAATGATGATGTTATCACTACATTATTGTAGAACAAAAGAGGAATGGAAAAATAGAACTATCTATTAATTGTTAACTGATAGATTTGCTTCCACAAAATCTAATAGTACAAGCTGTGATTTAGGAAACTATTGTGGTGGTAATTTCAAGGGAATAGAAAACAATTTGGATTATATAAAAAGTATCATTATTAATTGATTTAAAGATTTGGGTTTTGATGCTATATGGATATCACCTATAGTTCAAAATTATGATGGAGCTTATCATGGATATGCTGCTAAAAATATCTATCAAATTAATGAACATTTTGGAACAGCATAAGATTTAAAGGATCTTGTAAATGCATGTCATTAGAAAGATATTTGGGTTATGATTGATATTGTAGCTAATCATATGGGAAATTAAGATTTAGATTTTTCACGTAATTATCCTTTTAATTAATCTTCTCATTTTCATGATTTATGTGAGATATCAGATAAAGATTTTGCAACACATAATTTAGTAAATATAGAAAGATGTAGATTATTTATGTTAGCTGATTTGAATCAAGATAATTCTTATGTAGCAAATGAATTGATTAATTGGATTAAATGGGTAGTTAGTGAATTTAATATTGATGGTATTAGAATAGATACAGCAATGATGGTGAAAGGAGAATTTTGGAAAAAGTTTACAGAAGCAACAGGAATTTATTCAATTGGAGAAGTTTTTGATGGAGATATGGGATTCTTAAAATAATTTATTGGACCTATGGATGGTTTATTAAATTATCCATTATTTTTTACACTTAGAGATGTATTTTTACATTGGGGTGATATGTATAGAATAGAAAGCTTTTATTATAATCAATTATAAACATATGGTAAGAATAATATTCCTTTTATGGCTTAATTTAATGATAATCATGATAATGCTAGATTTTTGAGTGATGAAGTTAATGGTATAGGAGCATCTGCACTTAAAATAATTTAATTTAAAGCTTTTACAGCTTTTACACTTACATCTATTGGAGTTCCAATAATGTATTATGGATCTGAATAATTATTCACTGGTGGTGGAGATCCAAAAAATAGAGAATTAATGTGGAATTCTTTGAATTAGTAAGTATTTTAATTAATTATTATTTTAGAAATTCTGATACTTATAAATTTATCAAAAAGATAAATTAAGCAAGAAAAGCAGTTAATGCAGGAGCATAAGAATAAGTATAGAGATATGCAGATAATGATTTCTATGCATTTACTAGAGGTCAATTATTTGCTGCCTTTACTAGTAAATATGATAGAGATATTACAAGAAAGATAACTTATCATCCTTATGTTGATGGAACTAAATTATGTAATGTTTTATTCACTGGAGATTGTGTCTTAGTGTAAAATGGATCTTTTTAGGTTTATTTAAGAAATGGAGAAGTTAAGATCTTTTTACCTGATAATATAATAGCTCAAATAGAATGAATAATTTGAATCCATCATTATATATTTCATAAAATAATCATGCATCTTCCACTCTCTCAGTGACTTCTTCTTTAGTTGTACCATCATTCATAGTATAAATTTTAGTGGTTATAATATGTTTTTTACCACCTTTGGTAATAGTTTTAACTTTCTTTTAAACCTTCTTTGCCCCTGGAATCAATTTTTCCTTTCCTCCATCTTTTTCTACATCATCATCATCATCATCATCTTTTTATTTCTATTTTTCTACTTTTTTCTCTTATTATTTCTTTTTTTTATCTTTTTCTTGATCTCCATCCTATTCTTATTTACCTCCTTATGAAAATTTTGAAGCAAAATCAAAAACAAATACATGTTTAAAGGCCTTGTGAGGAGCTCCAAAAATACCTACTTATTTATAAGCAGGCTCAAAGAAATTAGATCTATGTCCTCTACTTGGAACACCATCATCTACAATCAATTAGATTACAACTAAAATTCTAAATCTTATAATTTTACTATCTTCAGCTGTGGATTTTCCAAAACTTATATTCTCTCCAATAGTGCCTGGTTTCCATGAACCATGTCTTTCTATTCTTTGTTTTGTAGTTGAATGATCACTTCCCTCATGTCCAGTCATACCATTAGTTCCTACTATCATATTCTGTATTACCTAGATCTTCCGCATGATCCCTAGCTGCTTCTTCCAATCCTTTTTCATAAACCAAGGGTCCAACAGGTTTTTGTTTTTTCAGAAAATCAATGCATTCTATGTTAAGATACTTGAACTACCTTGAACAGAATTTGCACCTTCTTTTGTATTTGTAGCCTAAGTTCCTGGTAAGTGTAGGATCTTATCTTTAAAGTATTTAAGCCTATTTTCTAGAACTGGAATCATTAGGGATGGGTCTTAACGTACTTTATTCTGTAATTCAAAAACTTCCTTAGCCAGTGCAGAATAATTCATTTAATTTAATTATAATAATTTATATTATCTAAATTCAATTTGAATCTCCTGATTCTGATTGCAAAATCTTCCAAAATAACAAATTTACTTTTTACAAATTACTATTCGATATAGGTAATTTATTTTAAGATTAAATATTATTACTAATAAATGATGATTTTTTGAATCAAATACATATATTGAGTTCTTTATATTTTCCTTTTAAATATAGAATTTTCATTCCTAATCTCTGAATATTTATTGAATATATTTGTTGGAATTTCTTTGAATAAGATTTTATAATCAAGTGAATAAAATAACATTAAAAATATTATATATATTTATTGAAATTAAGAATAATTAATCTATATTTTTCAGAATGTTTATTCTAATAATATATTTATTAATAAATTACTAGTAAGATTTTAATTATATAAATAAAAATTACAATTTATTCTCTTTTAGGAAACATATAAAAAATAAATAGATTATATTTTCATAAAATTTAATTTAATGGATTTATAAACAATAAAAAAAGTATCAAATACTATCTTCATTCTCTTCATCTTATTATTCTTCTTAATCTTCATCCTCTGACAAATTTTATTAAAAATCTTCAAATTAGTTATCTATTTATTTCTTCTCCTTTATTTTAAATACTTTTCCAACAAAACTTATTGCAAAAGTTGAATCAGGTTTTAATCTAATACTAATTAATCCTGATTCAGAAATTTCTCTACTCCCTTCAAAAATATCAACTAATATTTCAAGTACAATTTTATGAGTAATAATGATATATATTTATTTAGTTTCATCTTTGCTATTTTATATTTTATTTGTTAGCTAATATATGGTTTATCCTATTCTATCTTCTAATTATTCACTTGTCTCTTTTTTATAATTATTTTTAGGTAATAACTTAGGATCAATCAAAGTTTCTTTTGTTACAGCCTTTAAATAAGTGCCTGTATAATCTAAATTGATTTCTTCACTTGAACATATATTTGGATGCTAATAATCTCCTAATTCGTATTATGTAAATATTTTATCATTTTTTTTCTTAAACTTTAATTCCTTTGATTCTATATTCTTTTTTATAATATCTGCTGTTTCTAAACATTTCTTAAAAGGAGATGAACAAATAGTAAGAATGATATCAGATAATTCTAATTGATTTTCATTACAATAATCTTAAATTTAAGTTTTAATTTCTTTTGCCCTTTTTAATGCTTAATTCAATCCTATTTTACTTAATCCATCATTTTTATGATCTCTTTCTCCATTTCTAACAAAAATAATCATTTAAAAAGTTTTTTAATTACTTTGAAATTATCAATATTCTCTTAATTTCATATTAAAATTTCTTTATTAATATGATACTTTATCAGACATAATCAGAATAACCATTTTAGGATTTTTATTTGATTATCTTATCTATTATAACTAATAATTCTTAATTAATGATCTTTAAAACCTAATCTTATTGTCCATTTCATATTTTTTTATTAAAAACAAAAGATTTTCAAAATTTATTTTCTTAAAACAAAAATTGAAATCAATTTATTAATATTTTATATTTTTTATTATTGTTTTCATTTATTTATCTAAAAACACCATTAAATTCCAAAGATATTTTTTATTAATATTTACATAATTAAATTTATTTTTCGTAAGATATTATTTAGATATGTAAATTTATGATTAAATTATGTCATTTTTGTAAACAGACACAATGAATATTGATACTTGTTTATTAATGAATTGATTGTGATATAGTATTACTATATAATATATTACAAGAACAATAGAGTATTTACTATCATAAATTAATCTTTTTATTGATAACCATAAAGAATTAAGATTATTTAATAATTTATAAGTATTTTCAATGAGATTTATGATAATAAAGATGAAAAATGAATATAAAATCATAAATATTTGGTGAAATATACAATCACAACTACATCATTAATTTCTATGCTTTTTTAAAACTATTAAGCATATCTTCCAATTATTCAGGAAATATAACAAATTGACAGCATTCTTATTTTCCATTATCATGTTAAAATGTTATGTTTGTGTCTATAAATCTGTTACCTTCAATCTATTTCTAAGGAGCCACACTCTCAGATACTATAAATTTACTTATTCCATAATGAAACTCTACAGCCTTTCCAACTTTTAATATTATTATTTGTTATACTTCTTATTATTTAGTTTTCATAAATCTATTATAATTTATCTTTGTATTATTTAAATGTCTTGCTCAATTATTCACAATTTTCTTTAGGTAAACCCAAATCAATTAGCTCTTTTATTAATATCTATTCTGAAACATCATATTTTGCAGAGTTTTCAACAATATATGATACACACGCAATAGTAGAATTGATTTCTTATTAATTAAAACCTGATCCTTCCAACATCTTAAATATCTTAGCAGAAGTATCAATTCCTTCAACTATATTCTATAAAATGTATTATGTCACTAATTTCATTTTTACAGAAGCCTAAACTTATAATAAATCTTTAATACAATTTTAGTTAGAAGAGCTGATTCAGCCAAAAACCATTCTGGACAATTGCTATCTCCACAAAATAAAAATCTCATAATATTAATATTTATGCATTATTATTATATATTAAAAAAAACTTGATTATTATAAATGAATGAAATATTCATAATTATTTATTGTAAACTACTTCAAAACTATTTTTGAATTTACTTTTTTTATTATTATAAACATAATGACCATATTTTTATATTTTAATAAGATTTTTAATATATGATAAATATAAAAATTCAATATACTTGTACAAACTCTTTATATTTCTCGTTATAAGAATTAAAGAGTAATTTAATCTTTATGAAATTAAGTATTCAAAAATTATATAAAAATTTATAATGATATTATAATAATTCATTTATTTGAAGTCTAAGATTGAATGTAGATTAATAATATATTATATATCTTAAATTTGAACATTAATAAATATTATTTTAAAATTTTATTTTATGAATACATATTAATATTTAAATTTATAAAGTAATTATCAAAATTAAGTATTTATTATCTTGATATGAAATATTAGTAATTTAAATGTTAATAATTTTAACTTAGATGAATTAAATTAAAATTAATTTATGCTCAATTTCATTTATAGATATTTTTATCCACCTTAATTAGTTTATCTTTATTAAATTTTTAAATAAAAATATGAAAACAATTCTTAAAATATAAATTAGTTTATCTTAACATTAGTATTTCTCATAAGTTAATCTCAATAATTATGCTTGATATGTATTTAGAAATAATACAATAATATGAATTTTATTGAATATTATTTTGTTTAAAAATTTAAAAAAAGAATATTAAAAAAATCAAATATATTTAATTATGATTTTTTCCAATTTTAAGAATTAAATTAATTCTTAATAGGTTTATCATTTTTATGAAAAATTACATAAATATTTTAGGACTTTCAGAATTCTATTTTTATTATTATTTAACTTTATTCTTAAATGAAGGTAAAAATATTAATTATTTGAAATGAAAAAAAATAAATTTGGACTCCTAGAGGATATGACAGAACCAGGACTCATTAAGAAAAGTAATGATGTATCATGGAAGAATGATGAAATTTATAAATAAACAAATTTTGACAAAAATACGACTTATTTCCACATTATGGGTAAAATATAATACTTAAGAATATAAAGGTCATGAAGAATCCCATGCTGTAAGAAGAAGAGAAATATTGAAAAATCATCCAGAAATTTAAGTGTTATTTGGAAATGATATTAATTCAGCTTGGTTAGGAATTACTTTTGTATTACTCCAATTTAGCTTCATTACTCTTTTTAGCTAACTCAATTTTTTTTGGTTTTTAATAACTGCTTATGTTTTTGGTGCAACATTGAGTCATGCACTTCATGTTTTGGTACATGATTTTACCCATTTTACATGTTTTGAAAGCATAGTACTTAATAAGTTGATGGCAATTTGGGCAAATTTCGGTCAGGGAGTACCCTCAGCCATCACCTTTGGCAGGTATAATTACATTATGAGATGTATTTAGATATCATGCAGATCATCATACTTTTTTAAATTTGGAAACATTAGACCCAGATCTTCCCTCTAGATTTGAATTAAAGTATATTAAAGGTCCATTAATGAAATTTTTGTTTGTGGCTTTTCTACCCTTATTTTATGCCTTGAGACCTGTTATTTTAAGACCACTTAAACCAAATACTTATGAAGTAATTAATGCAGTTTCTGTCTTTTTTGTTGATTATTTAATAGTTCATTATATTGGAATGCAAGGACTACTTTGGCTTTTACTATCTACTTATTTTGGGTTAAGGTATCAAAAATATTATAACTTAGTGTTCATCCTTTTGCTGTTCACTTAATAGCAGAACATTATGAGTTTATAAATAGAATGGAAACTTATGATTATATTGGTTGGGCTAATTTTTTTGTACTTAATATTGGATATCATACTGAACATCATGATTTCCCCATGATTCCCTGGACTAGATTACCTTTACTAAGAAAAATGGTTCCCGAATACTATGAAAATTTACCATGCCATACAAATTATGTACATACATTATTGGCTTATATTTTTGATGGATATATGGGACCTTTTTCTAGAATTGTTAGATCATCACCAATAAATTTCAAATAATGAATGTTTAAATTAAATTGTAAAAAAAAATAAATTTATATATCTTTCAATAATTAAATAATAATTTTTCATTTATAAATGATATATATTATTCTTAAGGGGACAAAATGAGAATAATAATTGATCTATTTAGAATAAAAAATTTAAATAAGAGTCTTTTATCATATTTAAAGATAATAAAAATGATTATATGTGTAGTTTAATAAGAATTGGACAGTATATATAAATATTAAACAATATAAACTGTTACAAATAGTTTTTAATATACTTTTTGCTGTTGATTTCAATTTGATTCATAGCTTAACAAAGAATCAAATTAATTTTAATAGTTAATAAATTATTAATAAGAAGTAAATTATCAAATATTTAATGAAGATATTGTTTTCTAATCATTAAAAATGATATAGATTTATATTTAATTTTACATAGTTGATGTAATTAATTTTAAAGTTAAATTATAATAATTTATTTTATATAATAGTTATGGATGAACATCAAATAAAAAATAGAAAAAATAGAATAACTCTTTCGCTTCACTAACCATTACAATATACAATTTAGAAAATATTTGAGGAAGGATTAGAGTTAAATCTGAAACCTATTATACAATCTTCTACAAATGTAGCATTTTAAGACTATATAGATTATGAAATCAAATAAATCTCATAAGTAGAATAAAATGCAACTATTTTATAATGCAAAATTACATAATATTACAATAACAGATATTGTAGATGAACCTAAAACACGAATGAATCATTCTGTAAAAATTTTAAGAACTGAAACAAAAGAAGATTTAAATTAACGGATTTAGACTTTACCTATAAAAAATACAACAATGAAAAACTCTTAGGTAAAGAGAAGAAGGCTTAAATTACGTATTTCAGTTATTAATCAAATGATGATGTATTCTGAAGAATAATTATAAGAAAAATGCATTGATATATTCCGTAAATTAGCTAAACCCATAGCTGGAATACCAATATTGGAATAAAGTCGACTTTATTAATATTTAATATAGATTTTTCATAATGAATAGATAGCTATGAAAACAGTTAGATATTTATAAGTTCCTTAAAGTATGAATTATAAATAATATTGTGATATGATTATGGGTTTTAATGATTGGACTAAAGTTGGTAAATGATATTTAAATTTAGATATTCTATTTTACAGTTTTTATGTATTTTAAGAAAATTATTCAGCAATATTAGATTCAAACTCTTTATTTTAATTATTAACTTCAGAGTAATGTTTTTCAGATGATGCAAATTTTATTACTAAGACATTAAGATAGAGATAAGAATTAAATTAAAGAGACAATTATAATACTTATCATACTAAATTATTAAAGATTCCTAATCTAACATTTCGAAGATATAAGAGAGAATAGGAAATAATTATTGAGAAGTTACGTAAATAAAAATTAGATATGTATTAAGTTAAAAAAAAAATGATGATTTCTAATTTCAAAGAACATTAATTTGTAGATAAAGAAGAAAATATTTATAAATTACCAATATAAAAAGATGATGATATCATAGTTACATTTGAAACATTCAAATCTATATATAGTCATAGTCATCCTTGCTTTTTTGGATGGTTAATGA